GATGGCCACGATTGGGAATCCTGGTAGGATTTCGTCCCATTTTTCTGGGATTTTGAGGGTCTCCCGTTGCCCTCCCCCTCCCCCAATACGTGGTCTTCACTTCCCTGGGGGGCGGACAGGGGGAGGGCTGCCCTCCGAAGCCCCCCTTTGGAGTTTGCCACAAAACCTTTGACAAATTGAAACGTAAGGTTCCAGAAATCCAATTTCATTCCAAAGTCGGTATTAAGCCATATTCTGGACATTGAGGATCATTGGTTGCTATTTTTTCCTTTTTGGTTTAACTTCCTCCGTGGGAAACGCTTTAAATTCTATTCTGAAATTGCTGTAGAAACAATTCTGGATGTTTAAAAAAATCATATCACGCAGCTAAAGCCTTCCTTCCTTCCTTCCTTTCCTTCCTTCCTTCCTTCCTTCCTTCCTTCTTTCCTTCCTTCCTTCCTTCCTTCCTTCCTGTTGTCTTCATCTCCTTCTTTCTCTGCCTCCCTCCCTCTCCCTCCTTCTTTTGCCTCTGTTCTTTCTTTCTTCCTGATTTCCCTCTCACATATCCTCAGATTTGCTCTTAGGGTTTCCATTCCTTTATTTCTTTTTCTGTCTTTTTTCCCCTGCGTTCTCTCTTTTTAAACGTGTTTCCCCAAGTAACTTGGCTCCAAATTGATCTCAAGTTTAAAATATTGGGCTCTTTCCCACCGGCCCCAAAACTGTGTTTTTCTGCTGTATCTCCCCCACCCCCCCCACCTACTCCCCAATGTGGCCTTAAGAAAGACACCTGTAGATCGTGCTCAGCTTTACAGGTATAACCTTTTATTTTCCCGGCCCTCCAAGTGCGGCCCAAGGCATATAAAATCCTGCTGCTTCCGTCGCTCATTTTCTTGCAGGGGGGCGTCGGGGGGGAACCTGGCACCCATTAGGTCAAGCAGTCTCCCTGCTTGCCAGGTAGAGACCTCTCCGCCTTTGGCGTCGAGATGGCAGAGAGGGCTTGCTTATAAAAGCTCTCTCTCTCCCCTTGGCACTGATTCCTGCAACCTCCTTTTGCAGACTTTTAGCTGATTTTCCCCCCTCTAGACCAATTACCCCCCTCCCTCAAAACTGGTTGCATGGAGCCCTCTGCAGGACTGATGCCATTCCCAGATGTAGTTCCAGGTGCCCAGGGATAACAGATGTTATATGCACCCTTCTCAAGGGCATCTTTGCTGGACAAAAGTCTCAGCCCATCATATTTCTGCTGTAGCTTTCCAAAGGGCACAAGGACACAGGGCCATATTTTTTTTGGCCTGTTCTTCCGAGGCGATGTAGGAATCTCACCAAATAGGACCAGTCGTAATAGTTGCAGTGAATTTAAGGCTCCTTTTGGGGTGCATTTAAAAAGTTCGAGGGGTGATGGGAGGTCCAGAAATGCAAAATATTAAATAAACATAATTTTTTTAAAAGAAACATCTATGAAGATTCTCCGTCATCCAGGTCACCGTTGTCCCAAAAATGCTTTTCAAGAGGCAACTGCCAGAAAGTCTTGAAAAAAACAAACATTTGGGATAAATTAAAAAAAAGGTGTTTGGGGAGGGGGGTGGAATCCATTTAATGTCCACATTCCTGCTGTGAAAAAACCCCTTTTTATCCAAATCTGCCAAAATCTCCTTTGGGCCAAATTCACTAGCACTTCGAAACGTCTCCAAACCTTTTAAGCCTCAAATCTGCTTCCCCACACACACACAAACATATCTTTTTTGCACTTTTGCGACCGAAACTGGGAGGGGGGAAGGGAGGGGGAAAGGGGCGGGCGAGGGGAGCCAAACCTTGCAATACTAATGTTTTTTTTTAGCGTTCTAAAATGACTAAAAAAACAAAAAAAAAATGCTCCAGAAGTTGATGCGTGAGTCTATAGATATTTTTAACTTGAATCTTTGGATGGCACTTGAGTCTCAAAAACTGTCCATCTTGGCAACTGTCAGGGAGAAGCGTCTTAAGGGAACAAGGGTGTTCAGAAAGAGCCTGTATTAAAGTATCCAATAGTACTGTAATTCATGACTGTTAATAATAATTAATAATAATAATAATAATAAATAATTCCAGTGCTTAGAGGGAAGTTTTTGCAGCGCTGCCGAAAATTACGTTGCAGCCGTGCTAACTCACTTCTTTTCTGTTGATTGTTTACGTGCCATTTCTCTCATATCTAGCTCAAGACTGTTACGTTAAGCCTTGATCGATGATCTGTTTAAACCGTCACTGCATACACAAGTTCTAAAGCAAGGTTTAAAGTCATCCCTTGGCGGAGCCTCCTCTAATAAGGAGTTCAGTGTGGTCAGACCTATTTCATATACCGTAAAGGGAGGGGGAAAATCCGTTTAAAAAAAAATGTGATAATGAATGAGAAAATGCTTTGTAAAATTCACATTTACAAAATAATAAAA